AGCCGGGAGCCGTTCCGTCCCCGTGCCGTCAGCAGCCACATGACAAGCAGACCAGGAAGCTCCAGCAGCTCCATCCTTCCCTACCGCAGCATCCTCACCGCGGCCTCCACGGCCACGGGGCTGGTGGCCAGCGACACCCCGGGACTCATCTCCCAATTCAGACGCCGTAGGCTGCGGGGCTGCGCGTTTTGGCTCCCGGCTCCAGCATCCTCCGCGATAAGAGCGGGGCTCACCGACTCTTCTCCGGCGTCTCTCCGGTTGCACGTCAAGGCGAGGAGGTTTGCGGGGAGGTCGGATTGGGTCGGGAACGGGCAGGAGCCGTGCTGGCCGCGGAGGCGGCTGCGATGGCAACAGGGAGCCGGGCTTAGTGGGCTCTGAGCAGCGGGAGCGGGGTGCCAGGCGCCAGCACCATGTTCAGCCGCTCAGGATACCAGGCGCTTCCCTTGGGAGACTTCGACCGCTTCCAGCAGTCCAGCATCGGGCTCTACGGTGCCCAGAAGGGCTTCTTCTCCTTTGGATCCAAGCAAGACCCTCTGGGGCCGGCCGGGAATACCGCAGGTGAGTCCCAACCTCAGAGGGGAGGTGCCACCTTCCTCCCCATGGCCACTTCTGCTGTTGGGTGTCACGTTGGCTGGGTGCCCCCACCCTGCTGTCTTCTCTGGGGTGTGGGGTACCTGGGGGGAGAGGTTTGGTTGGGGGTTCACGAGCAGGGCAGAGGGTTTTGGAGCAGGTACATCCCTCTTTCACCTCCCTGCAGACTCCTCCCAGGGTTGGCTGTCCTGGATCTGCCATGGCATTATCACCTCCTTGGTCTTCTTGCTGATGATTGTCACCTTCCCCATCTCAGGATGGTTTGCCTTGAAGGTAAGGGAGGAAAGCAGGCGAGGAGCGGGGTGGCAACCTCTCCTCCGTGGAGGGGGACGTTCCCATTGCTCCTGGCACCACGGGACTCAGGGTTTTGCCTCTGCTCTGGTCTAAATTTTCCTGTTCCAGATCGTGCCCACCTACGAGCGAATGATCGTCTTCCGCCTGGGCCGTGTCCGGGCACCGCAGGGACCTGGCGTGGTCCTGCTGCTGCCTTTCATCGATCACTGGCAGCGAGTGGATCTGAGGACCAGGGCGTTCAACGTGCCCCCCTGCAAGGTGAGCTGCCTTGGGCCTCAGGGCAGGGTGGGGAGACATCTCTAAAATACCCAGAGCAGGTGGATTTGGGGATGGTCTGACCCTTGGTGCCACGCACAGACCCAACTTTCAGGTCCTTCACCATCAAAGTGAGGTGAGGGGGGAGTTGTAGCTGGTGCTGTGAACCCAGAGTCCTCACCTGCCTGCGGTTGAAAAGCTCCTCTTGACTTTGCGCACCTTCTTCTATGCACGTTCCTGGCTGGAGACATCTCAAAAACTTCGGTCCATGTCCTTCCCAGATACCTTTCAATAACAGCCCCATGCTGGAAATCGGCCTCAAGGTTCAGACTGGTCCAAACTTCATCATTTGGGCTGGTTTTACTTCTAATAACCCTCATGATAAAGAGATCTAGAGCCGGTTGCCAGCTGGGAAAGAAGCAAATGCCTTTGCTCCCAGGCACTACACACAAGGGTTGGGCCATGGGGTGGAGAAGGGGAGAGATTCCGACCACTCTCTCTGCCCCAGCTGACCTCCAAGGACGGGGCGATCATCTCCATGGGCGCCGATGTCCAATTCCGGGTGTGGGACCCTGTGTTGTCCGTCATGATGGTGAAGGACCTCATCGCGGCCACCCGGATGACAGCGCAGAATGCCATGACCAAGACCTTGATGAAGAAGAGCCTCTGTGAGATCCAGGTGGAGAAGCTGAGGATCGGGGAGCAGCTGCTGGTAAGAACTTCCCCAGCCCTGCACAGAACCCCCCTCACCCCCCAAACCTTCATGCTCTTGGTGTGGAAGTAACAGTAAGGGAAAGGTGGAGCTGCTGAAAGTCCATCTGGCCATGGCCTTGGCCAAGGAGAGATGCTGGGAACATGTGGTGATGAGCAAGGTGCAGATACCTTCAGCCTGTGGGTCTCTGGAGCTCTGTGGCTTATCTTGAAGGGCTTTGGCCACGTGTTGTCAGCAGGCTTAAATTTGACCTCCGTATCTCCACCAGGAAAATGTCTGGAGGGGTCTGCAAACAGGAAGGGGCTTTTGAGGAGAGAAGCTGGGCAGGGCAGTGGCAGAGGGACGATGAGTAGTGGCCACAGCTGACCTGGGCCAGACCAAGAGCTTGTGGGTTGAAGGTCTACAGGGGATGATACAGAAGGAGGCTGGGGGTATCTCTGCAGTGTCTGGGGTGGTTTGGAAGCCAGAGATGCTGCTTGGTGGGCCGTCATACCAGGACGTGTCGCCCAAGGAAAAACAAGGAAAGGGGCCAGCCTGGGAGGGAGCCATGGAAAAGGGAACAAGAGAGAGCCATCCTCCCCGTCCCAACCTCCTCCAAGCCAGGAGAGCAACTAGGGGAGCTGGGTTGAACATAAGAGTGGACAGCTCAGAGGAGGTGGCCTATTGAGCCTGGTCCAACACCCCACATCTAAAGCTGGTGGGTAGCAGGATTATGAGCTATGGGATGCCCGTGGTTGGGGGTGCTACAGTGGGTAGTCTCCATGACCTTACCTGGCTTTGCCTGGGCTGGCAACACCTCTCCCTTTCTTCCTGGCTCTGCAGCTGGAGATCAATGACATGACCAAGTCCTGGGGCCTGGAGGTGGACCGGGTGGAGCTGAGCATGGAGGCTGTGCTGCAGCCACCCCAGGAGAACCTGGTGGGCCCTCTGGCCACCGTGCCACCTGTCCCTGGGCTGGAGGGGTTGGATGGCACCATTCAGCAGCTGGCTGCCCATTTCTTCAGCAACACTCTGGCTCTGGCAGGCAGCAGGACCGGCGCTCCAGAGGCAGGTAACCAACCCAAGGCCACCACTTCTCTGCTGGGGGATGTCCCTCCTGCCAGGTGACCTTTGTGGCCGTTGGTCAGAGGAGTCAAAGTCCAGAGATACCATGCTCCTACGAGCACAGAGCTGGCAGGGGAAGGAGAGAGGACGGCTTTGGGCACAGCTCCATCCAGCATGTGGCAACCTTTCTAAGAAGACATTGGAGATGGGACTTGGGAGGGGAGGGGCAGATCTGCAGGAGCCTGGGCTCAAGACCAACTCAGATCTCAGCGTTTCCATCAGGCAAACCCAAGCCTGAGCTTGCTGAGAGGATCACATCTGAGGGCAACTGGCAAAACTGTGTTGTCCTCTTCTTGCTTATCTGGAAAATTGCTGGAGAAGTGGGTTTCTCTGCTCCCAAGACCTTTTCTAGCGGGTCCATGCAGACCAGGAAAGTTCACCACTCAAAGGTGTCCCCTTAACTTGCTTCTGTCCCGTTGTCCCCAGCAGACAGCATGGAGACATTGAATGAGGTGGAGCCTTCCACTGCTCCCCTCCTCGCCACCACCGGCAGCGCCCGGAGGAAGCCCAGTGCAGACGAGCTGCTCTCAGCGGTGGAGCCCATCCTCTCTGAGGCCCTGGTCGGCCAGGTGGGAGCATCCTACCAGGTCAACATCACCCTGCCCAGCGGCGCCCAGAGCACCTACTTCATAGACCTCTCCTCAGGTCACCAACCACTCTTTGGGGTTGTTGTGTCAGAGGTGGGAGGGTGTTTTGTGCCCGTGCCCCCTTTGCATGCTGTGAACCCCACCAAGCTTCGTGGTAGGGGGTCTCAAACCAAGCCCGTTTGGTAGCTCCATGAGAGGCACCCCAGGGTCCATCAGCTGAGCACTGCAGTTTGGCGACTGTGGCCTTCAGTTCATTAAACTTCCCTGGAAGTCCAAAGTATAATTTGATTTGGGTTAAAGCCAAAACCCCAAAAATTTTCCTTCAGACAGAGAGTACTGATAGAAAATTGGCAGCCAGGTCTCCTCAAGGCTGGCCAGGTGGGATGGCTCACAGACCAAAGGGCTTGTTGGCTCTTCTGTGCCACCATCTCAAGGGGATAGCGATGGAGGGCAGTGCCTTGAGCCACTGCCATGCTGGAAGATGTCCTCCCAGCACCCTAATCCATCCCCACACTGTTGCTGGTGGCCATGGCAAAAGTAGGACAGGGCTTGGAGGTGGACCACTGTAGCAGGACATTGGTGGAACAACACAAGAGAAATTTATCTCCATAAGGAGTGAGGACGCTTGTCTCCGAAATCCCCTGGCCAGGCCCTTGTCTGTCATCTGGCCCAACTCAACCCAGAAGAAATGGTGGGGGGAAAACCCCAGCAGGCAAGGCTGGCTCCTGAAGCCTTCTGTTCCTCCCTCTCCCACCCATCATGTCCTACAGGCAGCGGACGAGCTGGCCACGGCGTGCCCGAGGGCAGCCCCGATGTCATTCTGGAAGTGGCGGAGGAAGACCTGCAGGACCTCTTCTTGGGTGACCTGCGTCCCTTGAGTGCCTACATGAGCGGGAAGCTGCAGGTGAAAGGCGACCTGCACCTTGCCCTGAAGCTGGAGGAGCTCGTCAAGGCGATGAAGCAACGCAGATAGAGCGTGCGCGTGGGCGCGTGTCTGTGTGCATGTGTCTGTGTAGGTGTGCAAAAGGAGGGGACGTACGGGGGTGCTGCGCAGTGGGGACCTTGTCCTGCTGGAGCTCCTGCTGCCCTCCCCGTGGAGGCTGCAGGAGATGGGTGAAGAGCTGAGCAGGGAAACTGAGGCTGAGCTCCGTTGCCTGTCCTTGTCCTTGGCTTCAGCTCCTCTGCCCATCTTTTGCCTACAACGTTACGGGATGGGAACCAGTTTGCTTCCAGGTCCCTTGGCCAGCATGCCACCAGGGCACTGACCCAGCGGTGGTGCCCCCACAACGGGCATCTCAAACTGGAAGGAGCATGAGCTGAGTAGATTGGATGGAGAAGAGCTTGGGGACACGGTGACCAAGGATGGGGTTGGGTGGGCAGCCTTTGGGAGCCATGAGGGCTGGCTAGACCAGGCTGGGATGCCACCAGCGGGCTGGGGTCAGGCTCCAAGCGTGGCACCGCCAGCACTTCTGGGGAAGGAGCAGAGGTGACGATTTGAGGAATGACCTTCCTGGAGGTACCTGAACCTTCCCGACACAGCGGTTTGTAACGAGTCGTTGCGCTAAATTCGTGCTTCAAAGTGCTTTCTCGTGCGTGGCGTGAGGTTCTGCCCGCAGCGGCGGGGGGACTGTATATAGGCACATATAGATATGGATTTATTTTGTAAGCTTCCTTTCGGTCAACGCTCCGTGGACAATAAACCTGCTCTGCAGCCTTGGGCAGTGATGGGCTGATGGCCTCCGCAGGCAGACAGGGCTGCGCCACTCGGTGCCTCAGTTTCCCCAAGGGACCTGACGTTGCTGAGTAAAGAGGTCACGTGCTGGACAGGGCGTGGGAGCTGCTGCCAGTCAAGGAGGCTCCATGGTGTGGCTCCATCTCCCCGTACAGTGGTGATGAACACATGAAGTCCCACCACGGCCTGACGGTGCAAGGAGGCTCCTTGCCAGGGGTGGGGGGAGCAAGGAGAATTGAAATGTTTCCAGAATTGAAACGTTTCAAGGAGGGGGGATACAGGCCAAACCACCTGCTAAATGTCTTCTTCAAAGCCTGAGGCTGGGTGGCACAGGCCTGGGCCAAGCTTTGGGAGATCCTACAGGCATCAAAAGCCCTGAAGGGAGGTGGCAGTAGCGCCCCACCATGCCCTCTTCCTTTGGGGCTGCCAGGCTGGGTGAACCCCAAGTTTTCCTGGTGGTCTCCCCTTTTGTGATGTTCCCCTTTCCATGTTGATCTCCCCTACTGGGGTGGTTCCCCCCTTTTGTGGTGGTCCCTTCTTTTGTGGAGGTCCTCCTTCCATGCTGGTCCCCCCATTCGTGGTGATCCCCCAATTCGTGGTGGTCAGCTGTTCATAGTGATCCCCACTTTTGTGGCGGTCCTTCCTTTTGTGGAGGTCCGTCCTTTTGTGGAGGTCCCTCTTCCATGGTGGTCCTACCTTTTGTAGTGGTCCCCCTGCTCGTGAGGGTCCTCTCATTTGTGGTAGTACCCCATTCGTGGCGGTACCCTGTTTTGTTGAGGTCCTTCTTCCATGGTGGTCCCGTCTTTTGTGGTGGTCCCGTCTTTTGTACTGATCCCTCTTCCATGGTGGCGCCCCTTTCATGGTGGTCCTTCTTCCATGGTGGTCCCTTCTTTTGTGGTGGTCCCCCCTTTCGTACTGATCCCTCTTCCATGGTCGTCCCCCCATTCATGGTGGTCCCCCCATTCGTGGTGGCCTCCCATTTTGTGGTGGTCCCTCTACTATGCTGGTCCCCCCCATTCGTGGTGGCCCTCCGTTCGTGGTGGTCCCCGTGGGGCAGATGTCTGGGGCATCCCGATGGCTCGAAGGGTAGAGGAGAGCCCGAACCCGAGCAGCCCCCCAGGATGAAGCAGGATGTGGAAACGCTCTCCAAGGCGGGGACACACACACAC